CCGAGCGCAGCTAGGGTGGCAGCGGCGACGCGATGGCTCCGGCTTTGGACCGGGAGGGTTACTGGGGCCCTACGACCTCCACACTGGACTGGTGCGAGGAGAACTATTTTGTGACCGAGTATGTCGCCGAGTTCTGTGAGTGTGGCCTGAGGCGGGGAGCGAGGGAGTAGGGACACCGGGCTGAGTGGAGGCGCCGTGTGGAGAAGGCAGAGGACGAACCTGGCCGCGTGGGGAGGCACCAGGCCTGGCGTCCGGGGCCACGGGGGAAACAGGAGTGTGGTCAGGGGTGTCTGGTGTGTCGAGGGAGGACTGCCGGAATCCGGTTCGGCTGGCCTTCACATTGGGGTCGGACGGGAAGTGGGGAGCCCCTGCCCGACCTAAGGGGGCAGCCTGAGAAGCAGGGCTGGAAATGGGAATTCCTACCTGTCCGCGGAGTGGAGACAGGCAGCGGGAGCCCAGAAGGGGTCGGGAGAGTGGAGGTCTCTGCCTATTGGAATGAGAGCCCAGGACACCTGTTCTACTGTTGTCACCCCCTCCTCAGCCAGAGGGGAACACTTCCTTACTCCGTCTTCCCCCAAGTCTGGGAAAACTCTAAGGTCTTTCCAGTCTTCTTTCTCCTTCCTTTTTTTTCTCTTTCTCTATATATTTAGTTGTACTTGGACACAATACCTTTATTTTATTTATTTATTTTTTAAATGTGGTGCCTGAGGGTCGAACCCAGCGCCTACCCACGCTAGGCGAGCGCTCTACCGCGGAGCCACAACCCCAGCCCTCTTTCTCCTTTCTTATATGACCCCCCTCACCATCTCCAGGGAACAGTTTTATGATCTCAGAGATCCAACTCCCTCTCCCATATCTTCGGGTACCAGAAATGATCTGCTAGTACTATTCAACTCCCATCTTGCGCCAGAAGTAGAAGGCAGAGGATCAAGTACCTTTCTGCTTGTGCCAGCCTTCCAAGGGCAGGAGGAACCAAGTCATTGTTTCACTGTGAACCTCATCAGACTTCCTAGGGGTTAATGGTCATCTGAGAACCCTGCTTCCACTAACCACACCTTCTGGGAACTTAAGAGTCCTCCTCAAGCCTTTGCTCTAACAGGCATTGCTGGCCAGGTCTGGGTTGTTGTTGGTGGTGGTTTTGTACGTGTGTGTGTGTGTGTGTTTTCCTAGATAATCATTTCTGCCAGGCTTGAGAGATTTTTGATTGTTTATTTTGGTCAAGTGTTTTTTGTTTTTTTTTAAACATACGTTGACGGGCTAGGGTTGTGGCTCAGAGATAGAGAGCTTCCCTACTACACATGAGGCACCAGGGCCGCGGGGGAAGCAGGAGAGTGGACAGGGGTATCCGGTGAGTGAGGACTGCCGGAATCTGGTTAGGCTGACCTTCACACATAAAAAAATAAATAAAGATATTGTGTCCATCTATAATTAAAAAATAAACATTAAAAAATATGTTGTTTTTTTTTAAAATGGATCTTTTTGTTGTTGTTGTTGGAGATGGACAGAATACCTTTATTTTATTTATTTGTATGTGGTGCTGGGGCCCGAACCCAGTGCCTTAGCATGCTAGGCAAGCACTCTACTACTGAGCCACAACCCGAGCCCCTATTTTGGTCAAGTTTTAAGAGCACAGGGTTTCATCCTTCTTTCAGGTACCTGCTTCTGCAAGATGCAGAGACAATCTAATTCTTTGGTT